CGACAAAATACTGATTTGTAGCTCAAACACCGAGGCAAAATATCTGCAAATAAAGACCCGGGCTTATCAAATCAAAGTCCGGAAATCAAACGAACATACAAAGACACCGGACAAGCGGGAAATCGGAACAAAACAACATCCGGGGACCGCGCCTAAACCGAGCCAACGACCGGGGATGGCTCGGCCCAAGCGAGCCCACCCAAGGGTGGCTCGGTGGCTCGAGCACCCCAGGGTTGGCTCGGCCAAGGCCGACAGCCACCTAGACGGTGCTCGAGCCAGGGCGACACACTCAAGAGAGCACAGGCCGACCAACCCTGAGTGCTCGGCCAAGCAGAGCCACCCCAGGGTGGCTCGGCCAAGGCCTGAGCCACCCTGGGGTGCTCCGCAGCCGAGCCATCCTCTACGGGTGGCTCAAGCATGAGCTCGAGCCACCCTCTAGGTGGCCGCACTCCCCCCCGCTCTCTCTCTTGTGCAACAAAAGCACAGTTAGAGAGGCTATAAATAGGGGAAGAAGGGTGGTTGTTCAAATGAGGGACTTCTTCTGAAACTATTTGAGAGAGAGCCGAAACCTCGCTCTGCCCGGTTGTCACCTCAAACCCTCGGAGTATCGAAGCGCTTGAAGACATGGAGACCACCCGATTTATCTTAGCGGAGCAACCATCGCAACCGCAAAAAGGCAGAGTTTCGAGCAAGTCTAACTAAAAAAAAACAGATCTACGGTCGTTACAACACCCCAAAGAAAGGATTGCTAAAAGCTGGTTTCTTAGATCCCGAGATCGAGCAAGGAAACAAAAAAAAGTCCTTATGGTAAACGAATCCCCCGGTCTTATCTCCTTGAGAGTGGGATAATACAGCCCCGTGATACGATCGTAGATCGCTGCTAATAGTCACGGCGGTAGGTCACCCCTCAGCAACCAACCGGGCCAGGCACAAGAACCACCACAGAGCAAGAAACCGAAAACCAGATCGTTGTGATTTGTTCGGTAAAAGAAGAGAAGTTGTAATTTTGATATTCTAGGATTTTTGAGAGTTTTGACCGGATACTTATAAAAAGACCTCGGATCTCTTGTAACACATAAAGTTGTTACTGAGTGCAATGACATCGATAATCGGAAGAAACCACCAAACTTTTCCAAGCGAAACAAACCCTAGTCAATGGCGGCGAGTCAAAGCGCATTGCAACCAACAGTCAACGCTTGACGATGTCAAAACCCTAAGGTCAACGCCGGTCCAACGCGTATACCCTAGGGTCAAGCGCAGGTCAACGCGTTCGACAAAAAGATGGGTCCGAAACCCTAAGCCAGCACAATGTGGCAGAGGTAGTTCAAAGTCAACTCAATGACACGAACCAAATTCAATTCATTAGTTCAGACTCGCGACTCCGACGACGGCCAAGCGATAAACGCAGTGCCGGAAGAACTTTGGCTATTTGTCAAAGCATCGAATAAACCGAAAATCGAAGGAGCCAAGAGTTGAAGCTAACTACAGGTCGTGATGCCGACTGAAGGCCAGACCAATCATATCCAAAGTATTCCAGCCTCTTCTATAAAAGAAACGAGTCCGGAACACTTTGGAGGGGGTATCTGTAGGCATCGAAAATTGCCTATAGGTCTCCACAAACGGTTCAGTGTCAAAGAACGATGATGAACGTCACTATCCGATCCACATGAGCCTAATCGACATCGACGAACGACTGAAGTGAGTCAGCGAGCTAC